TTTACAGGTTCATTAGCTTGTTAAATGTTTTTTTTTTTGTGCCGAGCAGCCTTGATTGTTTTCAAATAATTAGAGACAGAGAGCGAAAATGAAAAACAACTAAACGTTTTCAATTAAAATCCACAACTAAAAACACGACACTTTGACTATTTCCCTGACGCACTGCGTTTGTATTAATTTTGATCTGAAATTATTTCGGCTTTGCATCCAAAATCATGGATTTGGTTTTCGAATTCAAATCAGTGTGTATGTACAACGTGTTGATCAACGTGTTTTTGACAGTTCATGATCATAGTATGTGAATTGTGTTGATTGTTTTTTTTTTTCTTTTTTTGAATTCTGACCGACATTGCCTGGACCAGCAGCGAGAGAATCTCTCGCATTATATCGGACGCTATGAATATTATGCGTGCACTACAAAGCGCTTGTCCACTTAAAAATATTGCCTATACGCTCGTTTGTTGTTGTTTTTTTCGCTCTCGCCAGCGCGAAACACAATGATGTCTAATATTTTGAATGACATACACACGCGTGTCCGTGCGCGACAAAAGCATTGTTGGCTCGGTTTTTATGTTGTGATTTTTGCCCCATTGAATTTCTTTACACTTGACAACACTTTATAATGATGGTGGTCATTGACTGGCTTCTCTATTGTAAAATATACAGGAGTTTTGTTGGTCGAAACAAGTAAAAAAAAAATGATATGAATATTTTGTATAAAAACTCATTACGAAAAGAAAATTCCATTAATTGAATTGAATCAAATTGTTTTTTTTTTTTTTTTTTTTTGAAAACAAACGGCAACAACAACAAACGCAAGCCACGCCAAATGTGGGCCAAATCGCCAGATGTTTATACTCGAAATACATTCCATAGCAAAGAAATAATAATTCCAGAAAAAAAAACACACAAATATAATTGTTTGAACAATGTTCAATCCAAACCTTGGAACTGCAGCAAAACATGCATGATCATGAATTTTAACACATTTTTTTTTCTCTTTTGCTTCGTTTTATTCTAAATAAGTTTGCATTTGATAAGAGAGAATTTTAGCAATTTCCTTTTCGTTAATATTTCGAACAAGTCATAATTAATCGGCGGCGCACGCATTCACGAAAATGAATTAATGTAGTCCGGAATATGGTTTGGGGGCCGAAAAATGGTCGAAGAAGATGAGCTGAGAACAGAGAAGAAAAAAAAACAATAAACTTCTACATTGAAATCAAATTGAACGTAAATGTGCAGCGTAGATAAGCGTATAACTTTCAATTTACACTTCAATTGAATTCATATGATTCTCATTCCCTTTTGCTATCTACTTCTATCTCTCCCTCTTTCTGGCCGAACACCAATTTCAAATGGTGAAACTTTATCAAAACCAACGCCACGCACTTTCAACACACACATTCATTTTGATTTAATTGTTGTATCAAATATCAAGTGTTCGATAAATAAATTTATTCGAGCGGATTTAATTAAAGAAATTAGCACGTAATCCATAAGAATGAAATAATCATTGTGTGGCAGCATCTGCTACATGAATTCGATTTTTTTTTTCTTAGCTGAAAAATGAAAATGATTTTTTCCAAACGGTAACACGATTGAAGCACTTATCGAGAGCGAGAGAGAGAGAGAAAAAAAAACAGAACAATGAAGCATTTGCTAATAATGTTTTTGGTTTGCTTGTTGCATCGTGATTCTTTTTTCATTGCTCGTTTCGAGTGCGCTTCTGATTAATTCGATGACCGAACACAATTAGAATTTACATGAAATGTACGAGAAGCAGCATCCAATTTTCGAGATGAATGATAACAAAGGGCATAAACTGATGTTTTATGGAGAAAAATCACATTGACCATACAGATTTCTACTTCGCAAATACATATTATTCGCAAATGTATATAATTATACACATTATTTACGTTAATTTATAGTCTTTGGATTGGTTAATCATGTACCTTTTATTGTCAATTGACCAACACACCAATTGACTTGTGTCTGTCTGGTGATTATATCGGCGATGCAACTTACTTCCCAATTAGAAGTCTTATGAACTTTTCAATTAAAAGACTCTAAGTTTTTCTTAAAGAATTCTTTCTTTAGTGAAGTCTTTAAAAAGACTGTGACAAACTGTTGAATCTTTTTTTTAGATGAAAAAAGGAAATTTGACACGAGAATTGAAAATTTCTCAAAAAAAAAATATTTCCAAAAAACAAAAACATCAAAAGTTGGCGATGTGAGTACATGAGATCAAAGATGACCGATCAAACGTTAGTTAACGGATAGCCATTTGTCACGTGCATACTTTTTGTTTACTACTTGCCGCACACATGCATGTGTACGATCACTCGCGATACGTACACATATATCAACAAATTACACACACCAGCAAAGATAAAAGGCTTAATGAATTCTGATCTTGACCCTGAATATGATCACATTTCATGTGCAAAGAGTACAATTAACTAAGAACATATGTGAATTAGAAGCATTGTGTGTAAAAATATCTGCACAATGAGCACATCATTTTCGAGTGAAATTTTATGAGAATTGCTGAGTAAAAAATGATATCTCTCTCAATTCCACGTTGAAACGTGTGTTGCTTTTTTTTGTATTTCGTCTGATCTATCGAGCTGGCTGAATCGGAAAAAATATATTAAGTTGTTACTTGAGTGTGTGTCTTTTGCACTTCATTTGTGAGACGAAGAGAGAGAGAGAGAGAGAGAGAGAGAGAGAGAGAGAGAGAGAGAGA